AATACATTGGATTTTAAATAACTCTTTTACTATGAGGGTAAGTGCTGGGAATGGGAAGACTATAATAACCATTCTTGGGGCTGGGGAGTGGCATGGTGGTTAAGGACGCTGGACTCCCACACGGTCAACCACAGTTTGAGTCCCGGACTTGGCAGCTTGCTTTCTCACTTTCCCTCTCTCTCTTGCTCTTTCTCTCTCATTCTGTCCCTCTCTGTTCAAATTTTAAAAGCAATAAAATCATCCTCTTATATTTTGCACAGCTCTAAGAAGGCTTCAGTGCTGCAGAGCAGGTTTTGCACCAGGACTGGGACTATTTCAGCCTGACTCTGATTTCAAAGATCCAAGGTAGTATTTTAATTTCAACCATCATCCTCCAGATCCTTATTCTATTTTTTTTTAAATTTTATTTATTTTAATTTGACCAGAGAAGGATAGAGAGAAAGAGAGGGAAAGGGAGAAAGTAAGCCGCAAGGTCCGGGACTCGAACTGCTGTTGGCTATGTAGGAGTCCAGTACCCTTAACCATCATACCACCTGCCAGCCCCCAGACCCTCATTCTGAGAGTTCATAACCAGTGCTCACAAATTTGCATTATCTGCCCTGTGAATTGCCTTCAAAAAGATGCATTGTTGAGGGTTGATTCTGAGTTAAATGAGGTCTTTGTGTGTATTATCTGTGCATTTATCAGCGCTTCCCCTGAGTTTTAGAATACACACACACACACATGATTATACATACATATATTCCTCTTTGGGAGAAGAAGAGGGAGAGGGAGAGAGATAAGGGAGAGAGGCAGAGACAGGTATTTCTGACAGCTCTTGCCATGTTGTGGTCCGCCTGCCCCAGTCTCCCAACTAGTCAGGGACATAGGTGTGTGCAAAGGCTCCCAGGGTGTTCTGATTAGTCCAGGAGCCAAATCAGACTTCTCATGTGACTTTCAGTCTCCCAAGCAGTGGTGCTACTGTGTGCTGCTGATACTGGGCCTTGTAGATACATTCTTAAAAAATATTTATTTAATTCCATGTGTTATTATTATTTTTTAATTTGATTGGAGAGAGACGGAGAGAGAAAGGGAAAGTGAGAAAGCAAGCTGCCAGGTCCCGGACTCAAACTGCAGTCAGTCACGAGGGAACCCAGCACCTTTAACCACCATGCCTCCTGTCGGCCCCCCTTGTAGGTATTTTTGTTTGTTTGTTTAGAGACAGCATCTCATTCTTGCCCAGGCTGGCCTTGAACTTGTGATCCTCCTGCCTGAGATTCCTAAATAGCTGGGCTTATGCTTATGGATCTTTTTATTTATTTATTTTTTAAAGGTGTTTGCTATAGGGAGGGTATACTCACAGGAGAGAAAGAGGTAGAGACAGAGAAAATGAGAGATCACCTCCCCCCCCCGCCCCCTCCGGGAGGATGGCCACGCAGCAATTCCTTCTCCTCCACTCTTTCAGGATCTTGGGCACTCACCTTGCATGATTTTCAAGTCCCTGGCCCAGGACTAGTACAGTGGTTGGCCATGAGGGAATCCAGTGCCTTAACACCAGGCCACCTGTTAGGCCCTGTAGATCATTTTTTAGTGTTTAAATTGTTAAGACTATGGGCCAGCAGGTGGTGTGGTGGTTAGGGCTCTGGACTCCCATTTGGTGAACTGTGGTTTGAGTCCTGGACCTAGTAGCTTGCTTTTTCATTTCCCTCTTTCTACCTATCTGGTGCACATACATGACCTATAACAAAATTAATAATAATAATAAATAAAATCAATTCAATAATTCTTTTAAAAAATAAATTATTAAGACTGTGGAGGCCTGATTTTCTAGTTTTTGGGAAGCAGGGGAACACATAAGCCAATGTAGAAATAATCAAGAACTTATCTAGACTAAGGCCTTTATGCACATTAACTCATTTATTTTAGACAGACTTTTGCTATAGGGTGTGTGTGTTCGCCAGAGAGAGAGACAGACAGACAGACGAAAAGCAAGACATCAAAAGCTGCTGGGTCTGGGACTCGAACCATCCCTGGACTATGTGGGAGTCCAGCGACATTACGCCATCTGCTGGTCCCCAACATGAACCCACTGAAACCTCACAATAACACTGTTCTATAGGTACCATCATTCCATTTTACAGGCAAAGAAACCGAACCCAGTGAGATTCAGTGTGGTCGTCTTCGCGGCTAACCATGTGGCAGTACTACCTCTGCTAGCAACGCACAGAAACTGGCCATACACCTCGACGGTTATTTGAACGTGACAAACGTGTCCTTGGCTGTGTAGTACCTCAAATCCTTTCTTCTCCCGCAGCTTCTGGGGTAGGACCTGGAAAGATTAGGGTGTGAATTTCCTCATCGACCCTGGGCCATTTACTGAACTCTCAGCCTCCGTTCTTACCTGCCCCTGGGAGTTTCAGAGGAAAGGACCTCACCTCTCATCACAGAGTGGACGCTGGTGGGGAGAGGGGCTCAGCAAGTGGAGGGGTTGAGGTTTCGCGCCGTGCCCTGTTTTACCAGATGTGAGGTTCGGTCCCGGTCGGCGGGCTCCCTCTCAGGTCCTGCTGGCGCTGAAGCTAGGCTGCACCTTCTCCACCAGAAGGGCGGTCAGGAGGGAAAGCTAGGGTGGGTCTTACCACCCCCCCCCCCCAAGGAGTTAGAGAGCTAACGTGTACCCTCCGGAAGGCTTCCAGGGGGTAGTGATGACGCAATCAAATCCTGACTTTCTAGAACGAATTTTAAGAAGAGGTGCAAGGGAAAGGGCTAGGTACCCACCCTCGAACAAAAGCTGCTGGAGCTTAAGAGCTCGAACGGTGGACTGGTCTGCGGAGGGGAAATCACACAGGGGCTTCCGAACTTGGCTTTTATTCTAAGAGCAGCCGGAGGGGCTTCTGGAACGTTTAAAGGAGTGTAATCAGAAGTTGTGGAAAGACCGCTCCAGTCACTTGGGAAGAATGGCTCGGAGGTGGGGGGCGTGGAAGCGACTGCAGAAAGCAGTCCAGGTGAAAGTGACCGGGGACCGATGGAAAGGGTGGGGGACCGAGCCTCTGAGGCCGTTGCCAGTCCCCGCGACACTGCGCTGTCACTCGGCTTCCTTTGCTTCTATGGAAGGATTCCATAAAGGGTCTGGGACCCGACCAACGCTCACGAAGCGAAATGGTCTAGAGTCCCCTTCTCTTTCGGGGGGCTTTCTGGTCCAGAAGCCCAAGAATTGAAAGTTAGGCGGGGACGACTTCTCACCGCTGGAGATGGAGAACCGTTACCCCTCAAACACACAAAAACGTCGGTCGCTTTTGGCAGCAGCCTCCTCCGCCCATGACCTCATGCTCTAAGCTCCCATATAGCCTTCCCCCGCCCGGTCCACACCCAGCGCCGAGTGGGGGCAGGCTGGGGGACAGTGGCGAAGATGTGGGTAGCGACCGAAGCTTATTTACCCTGCGCGAGATTTCGGGGAAGGGGCGAAACGACTTCCCCATACTGGGAAAAGGGATGGTGTAACTTTTCACTCGTGCAAAAAAATACTTGCTGTCTCGCGGGCCTTCCGAGATACAGACGCCTCGAACCCGGCTCGAGGTGATCTATTTAGCCGAACTATCTTTGCTTCGTGTTTTCTTGGACCAGGAAAGAAGCTGGGAATGCTGGGGTCTCGGGCCACGCTCCCCAGCACCTGGGCCAACAGGCGGCCGCGCCTTCGCCGGACCTGGGGGCTGTCCTGCGTTCGCCGCCGCCCTGACCCGCGCCGCCGAGGTTTGAACCCTTGGCTCGCCTTTCAGCCCGCGCCCTGCCCCCAGCTCGCAGCTGCTCTCGGTTTGGGTGCAGCGGTTTCCCCCGCAGAGGAGGAGGAGGAGACAGCGCGGGGGAGCGACTCCGGGCTCCGGTTTCCCCACCAATGCCGAGCAGCCCCGGGCGGCCCCCGGCGGCCGTCCTCCTAGGCAACCTCCCTCCCCGGCCTGCTGCGCCGCGGAGATGGAGACCCCTCCCCAGAGAGCTGCATTTCCAGCACCGTCTGCAGCACCCCCTCCCCGCCCCCATCAGGGCGGAGGGATGGAGCCGCGCGCTTCGCGAATCTCCAGCCCCTTCGCCGGAGCCCCAGCCCCTCTCTCAGCCCCACCGAGCCCGGGTGCGGTGGGGGTAGGCGCAGACCATCTCCTCGCTGCCGGCCCAGACCTTGGCATCTTTGCCAATCCCTTAAAATAAAAAATAAAAAAATTAAAAAAGGAAAGAAAAAAAGAACAAAACCTCTCAACCCCAGTCCTTAGGTTGCAAAGCGCATTACAATAACTCGGACGGCTACGCAGGAAGCAATCCTGCACTGGTCCGAGTCTAAGGCGGCGGCTTCCCGGCCACGCTGCCTTCTCCCAGGCCTCGATTTTCCGGCCATACCGGAGAGTCCGCTGCAGCCCGAGGCTGACAGGTCCCGCGCGGGACGGCAAATGGGCCCACGTCCCCCGTCCCATCTCCTCGTTTAGAGGCTCGCCAGCCTACAAAAAGGTGCAACCTCACGCTCACGCAGAGCGCACAAAGTCAGCCTTGCACCGCCGGGGAGGTGGCGCACAATGCGTTTGGCGGCCCGCGCCTCTTATCTCAGAAGTCCCAAGTTCTAAACAACCCCCTTTTTGCTCCTGCTCCCCCCCCCACCCCGCCTTTCTCCTTTTGCAAGAAAATAATTTGACAGTCGATTTGCTGACAGGGGAGGAATTTGCATCCTGGATTTTAAAAAAAAGGCCGAGAGGAGCTTGGGAACGGTTGCTAGGGGTGGGTAATGGGTAAAAAAGGGGGGTGCCGGGGAGAGGATGAGGAGGGTTAAGGGAGGGGGCGAGGGTGGGAGCAATGCAAAAGGTAAGGCCAGGTTACCGCGGCTCGGCCCCGAGTGGGCTGCGGCCGGGGGAGGGGCGAGAGATACATATGTATTTCTGTCTCCCCAGCACACCCCCTTCCCTCTAAGCGATGGCTGAGAGGCGGTGCATGCAGATGGGGAGTAAGTTTCCTGAAGGGGAGGGTGGATGCACGCGCGCAGCCCGGCGCTGCAAATTTCCACCGGGGAGGGAGAGTGGCTGGATGCTGAGAGTTTGGAGTTGCTTGCGGCGGAGGGCAGGAAGGGGAGCAGGGCCGGGAAAGGGGGCTGGCGGGCGCTATATCTGGGAGTAAGTTTCCAGGATCGAGAGAGCCTGCACGCTTGCTCACTAGTAAGTTTCTGGCCGGGGAGGGCGCGTGGGGAGGAGAAGAGGGAGGGGTGCATGTATATAGAAGGGGGGAGGGGGGGAGCAGATTTCCTGCGGGGAGGCTGAATGCATATGGAGAGTAGATTTCCTGAAGGGAGGGTGGAGGCGTAGACGGACCGAGTAAGTTTCTTGCAGGGGTGGTGGCGGAGGTGGTGGGTTGGTGCTCTGGAAACCCAGAGCTTCCTACCCCGGGGCGGAGGAGCACGCTGTTTTGGGGCGGGGGGCGAAGGGCCAGGTTCCCTGCTGGGGAGAGGGGCTTGCATCTGGGGAGTATGTTTCCTGGCGGAGCGATATTTGTTTACAGGCTGAGGGCAGTACAGTAAGTGAGTAGCGCTGCGAGAAGGCGGCTGACATAAATTAATATTGAAATTACTCCATCAGCTCTGCTCGCCCCCCATCCCGCCCCCCAAGCGGAGACTGGTCTTGTCGGATTGCCCATGCACTTGTTGCAGAAACAGCCAAGGTAGGCAAGAAGCCTATTAAGTTTCATTAAAAAAAAATTTAGTTGGGGGATGCTCCGTGAGAAGACGGGAGGGGGGTGTAGAGAAGGAAAAGTGCCCCCCCTCCCGCGCGCCCCATCACTTTCAGTATGTAAGCAGGGCCTTGTCTTCGCTTCTCTTTTCCCCTCTTCCCTCTCTGGGCTGCACAGCATCCCAGCAAGGGGGGAGGGGAGAGGTGGGCGCTCTAATTGGCAACCCTGGCTTAAAGGGTGGTGGTGGTGGTGGGCTTGCAATTGAAGGTTATGATGTTATAAAGCCTTCATTCTTCCAGCCAAGAAACCGCAGGGCCCTGGGGATGTGCCTTTTGGGGTTTTTGACATGATGCATATGTGTATGCCTACGCGCCTGCGGGCTCTGTGGGGGCTGGGTACTCCCCAGAAGTTAGTGTGGCCACCCTGAGGGGAGAAATGCATAAGGGAGTAAACGTACCCCTTCCTCTTTGCTCCCCAACTTCAGTTTGGGAGACTGGGAAGTTTCTGCCGGTGGTCTGAAGAAAGATATGTTACAAACCAAAGCAAACCACCCATTCCCGGGGGAGGGGGAGAGCACCTGGCAAGCAGCCTCTGACCAGCGCTGGGCTGAAGCATGTGTGCCTGCCATCCTCGGGTTAAAAGAAGCCGCTTCTGGTTCCTTCGGGTGCCTTCGACCGACCGGCCTGTTAGAGCCAGCTTCCTGGAAACTCTTCCCCAGACTAGACGCAGTTTTGGCAGGTGAACGTGTTGAAGCGGGCTAACAGCCTGGCCTAGGCTGTTCTGTGAAGTGCGGGGAAGTCGTGCTCAGGAATGACCAACCCAGGCATGGCTGAGAGCGCCTTCAAAATGCCTTCTGGAAGCCTGTCCGGTGCACGTTCTGTAGGCCATGGAGGAAGGAGTGCTTTAGGAAAAGACTGGAAAGTTGTCCCTGTTGGTACTCCCCTTTTGCATCCTTACCCTTTCAAGAAAGGAGTTTGGTGATAGAAAATGTGGTTTGATACCCGCTGGAAGGGTAACTGGCAGGAGTGCTCAGCGCTTAACTAGTGAACCAGCAGTCGGCTTTCTTGGTCCTGGATCTACTGGTTTCTGCAGAAGAGTTGTAGGACTTGGCTGTCAGGTACCTTGATTGTGCTGTTTTACCTTTGCCCGGGTACTGGGAGCATCAAGCAGTCCAACCCAGAGCTGTTTAGTAGGGTTAGGGAGTAACCATTAGTCAGTGGGATTAACTAAAGTTCGTTAAGCTTTCTGCAATTTCTGTAGGCAGGCTCAGTTCTAGCAAGGACAAAAATGGGTTAAAAAAAATGTCTCTCTACTCTGATGGACAGGACTTTTTTTTTCTTTCCTTCCTGTCATCAGATTTCCAGATTGAAGGTTTGATATTTGGCAGCATGAGCGTTGAGTTGGTTGGGAATTAAATATTATTGCCACTTATCAAATGTACTAAACTAGGCATGAGTTAAACAAATTAGCTTTCGTCTTTAGCTGATGAAAATCTGAGTCTGGATGGTATATGTGCTGGGGGAGTAAACAAAACCTTTACCTGAGTTCATCCCAGGGTGGAATTATTTACATGCTGAACCTCGAAGCCAAGAGCAGTCGTTCAGTTTTTTTTTTTTTCCTTATATTTATGAGATTTATTTTATTGTCTTGCTTTGGCCATTAATCAAGTCACAGTAGCTTTTTTTCCTCTTCCACTGAGAATGTTCTTGTGGTAATAAAGGTTTGAAGGCTCATGAATCATAATTCATTCTTTTTAAAATATTGTGGTGATTGTCAGGATTTGATTTATAGGAATTGATACCCGGAGTGACACACCTCTTTGGGCCACGCCCTTATAGGCATGTCCATTTTTGCCAAAGGCTTGTTTAGAAGCCAGCTTGACATCTAAAAAGGAGCCTTTCCCTTCTGCTTTATAAGCATCGAGAAGATTAATTTTGCAGGTTCCATAGTAAACATGGGCCTTTTCACAGCTTGGTAAGCAGGCTTCCACATAGCAGGCATGTGTTAGTATCACATAGCATTTATGTGAGCTTGCTGTGAAAACAGTTGTTCCATAAACTGTGTGGAAAGTACTCAGTTTTACCTCTTTTAACCCGCTTGGGCCTGTGGTTTTTGTTAAGAGCTTCAATTGTGAAAGAGGGGCAGACTGTGGTGTTCTTTGCTGCTTATATAATAAAATGTGTGGTCGCAAAAAACAAAGCTTATTTATAATTTTGTTTTATCCTATTCATGGGTGGTTTGGTCATTATTACTAAGAGCACTGGGTTTTTGGAAAATAAAAAGATTCTCCAGGGTTTGCCATGGAGCCCCGCGCGGAGGAAACCGGATCCTACATGGCTGACTGGGGTTTGAATCCTGACGCCAAGTGGCAACACCCTGGATGATGGGGAACGGGAGGAAAAGGATTGTGGCATGGCCCGGCTCTCTCTCTCTGTCTATTTCTCCCATTTTGTGGATGCAACTTCTGGCCTATTTAAAAAAAAAAAAAAAGATTTTCCATTAAACTTAGTCAAGAAATGTTAAAATTGGAGCTAGTGGGACCAGCAGATGGCATAGTGGTTACGTTGGTGAACTCCCACATGGCCAACTGTGGTTCGAATCCCGGCTTGAAACTCATGCCGGGCACATGTGTGTGTGTGTGCCCAAGGTCCTGGGAGGAGAAAGGAGAAGGAATTGTGGCATGGCCATCTCCCTGTGGGTGACTTCACACGCGCTCTCTTACTGTCCCTGTCTCTAGCAAGCATACATGCACTAAAACAAAAGCCTCTAAAAAACTGTAGTTAGTATTTGGCTTAAGTTTATTGTATTTGTAAAGTGAAGATGTTTGATGTGCAGTGCAGGGAGAGCACTTCATTGGAAAGAAGAGTGGAGAGGGTACCGATTTCTAGCCATTTCTGGGCTTTGGCTTTTTTTTTTTTTTTTTTTTTTTTTTTCATTTTTAAAATTGCCTTTTTGAC